CCGCAGGTGACGCCCAAGTCGCCCTCCTTCTTCATGCGGCAGGTCATCACCTCGGTCAACTTCCGCACCTCGAACGGCATCCGCAAGGACGGGACCGCACGCCCCGTCCACGGCATCACCGCGGACGCCAACGACTTCATGCACGGCTGGCTCAACTACCAGATTGAGCACCACCTCTGGCCGCAGCTGTCGATGCTCTCGTACCAAAAGGCGGCGCCCCAGCTGCGCGCCATCTGCGAGAAGCACGGCGTGCCGTACGTGCAGCACTCCGTCTTCCGCCGCCTCAAGAAGACGGCGGACGTGATGGTCGGCGCCGCCTCGATGCGCCAGTTTGCGCCCGAGTGGGAGGCGGAGGAGGACAAGTTCGAGTGGAAGGCGTAGCGGAGAGGGCGCGCGCCGTAGCCCCGCCAGCACAGCCCGAGACGAGGCTGGGTGGTCGAGGGTGGTGGAGGGCCGCTCGACGGCGGCGGACGAACTGTGGCGGACGTCTGGACGCGCTGCTCGTGGCGGGGGCGGCATGGGGGACGGTGTGGATGGCGCGCGAGACGGCTCGTTCCACTCCTGTCTGTGGTGGTCCCCCATTGTACCCGCATGTCCCATGGTCATGCGCGACACACAGATATCACTTTATCACGGTCCACGCTCACACAATGCGCTGCGCAAAATGTTAAATGTATGTGTGTTTGTTCCTCTCTCGAAAGCGGTCTAAATAAAAAAGAGCGCTGCACACCCCGCCTGCTTGAGGTGCGCTCTTCGTCAATGCTCGTAGAAAAAACTCTGACATTTTACGAACTCCTTGGCGACGTGCGCGTCGCGTCGCCAAGGCTCTGCGACCTCGGTCGTACAATCAGCGACCTCGGTCGTACAATCGGCCGGCTGCGCGGGTTTTCGGCGAGTTTCCCGCGCACCGGCCACGAACTCGACTCGCACAGCAAAAAAATCCGGACCACGAAGCGCCGCCCGCGCGCCCATTGACCCCCCAATCAGCCCTCTTGCTGTCCCTCAATCGCCACCCGCCAGATGTACTTCCCTCGCCCACCCAATACTCTCACCCTCCTGACCCGGACAGTCCAGGTACAGGAAAAGCGGGGAGCGGGGCCCGATCCAAGGAGCACCCCGTCGGCCCGGGAGGGCTGTGAATTTCGGCGCGAGCGGAAGGCTGCCTGCAGACGCTCAGCCCCCGGCTGAGCTGCCGAATCCTCCCGGCTAATCCCCTGACCTGCCGCCTGAAACGGGACAACATTACACCACCTCACACACACTCCCCCCTCAGGGCTAAGCAGTGCGCAAGTCCACCCGAACTCTAGGCGAGGCATCGACCGCTCCTTTGGAATAGTGCCGTCAGTGGCTGCACTAGACGCCCATTAGATGGCGCGCGGCGCGGGCGGATGACTAGGGGAGAGAATGCGGAGAGACTAGCTCGCAGGTAGATGTGCTCAGCCAAGGGTAAGGGATGAGGGGAATGTGTCAGTGTGAGGGGTGCACCAACCGCAGAGCGTCGTGTTTTGCCTTTGAAAACTGAACAGTTTTTTTTTCGTCAATGCTCGTAAACTGTACGCGTCTGTGTGATCTCTGTGTGCTTGTGTCTGTGTGCACTGTGTGCTTTCTGTGGGTAGCTCCCCCCCCTGAGCCTGTCCTTGTGTCCTTCCCCACATATCTGCTCCTTCCCCGCGCTCGTTCTCATCATACACATACTGTTGCACTGTTGCACTGAATTGGGGTCGGTTCCGCATGCTTGGTACCGCGACGGGAGTCGGGACCCCCTGAATCCTTTACATAACGAAAAGCCATGGTGTTATGATGCTGCACGGGCGTCGGCCAGCTCATGCTGCCTGGCGGCGCCCACGCATCGGCTACCGGCGCTGTCCCCGCCGACGAAGCGTCTGTAGGCACGGTCGAGGCTGAGGCTGTATATCCCCGTGCCACTGGTGCGGTCTGCGCGCCTCCTGGCCGCCGCGCGCCCCCTCATGTTTCGCCTCCAAAGGGCGGCGCCAACCGCAGTGCCAACTCCGACCAAGCCCAAGGAAACCCCGACGACGGGAGCACTCGCTGCGCGATCTGCTGCGTCGCCGCGTCTTACAGATCCCTCGAAAAGCGCCCCCAAAGAGGAGACTGCCCTTGCTGGCTGCAAGGTTGTCGCTGAACTTGGTTGCGGATCAAACGGCGGTGGTCTTGGCGAAGGCGGCAGCGGTGGTGGCGTCGGTGGTTCTGGCGGCGCGGGTGGTTGTGGCACGCAGTAGGAGCAGCCAAAGCAGTCGTCATGACTGCAGTGGCGGACAGTGTATTGAGGGTCACACCATGATGAGCACGGCTCGGAGAGGTCTGTGCAGAATGGGCAAGCGCTGCACGCGGCGTGTCGGCAGTGGCTGGACTCGTACACCGCAGTGCACCACCCTTCGCAGCGGCTCTCCGGCGGAAAGGGCGGGTGCGGCGGCGCTGGAGGACGGCGAGGGTGTGGAGGGGTTGGCGGCGGCAAAGGCGGCGGCGGCGGCTCAAACGGAGGCGGCTGCGGCCGAGGCGCAGAGGGTGGAGACGGAGGGGCGAACGGAGGCGGCCGAGGCAGCGGCGCCGTGGGTGGAGACGGAGGCGCGAACGGAGGCGGCTGCGGGAGCATGCCTCCAGTGTTACGCCGCGATGGCGGCCGCGCGTGCGAGTGCCCGCCGGCAACTTGACAAAAGTGTTGGTTGTCACAAAAGTGTGATTCAAGAAAAACAGTTGATGGTGTAGCTGTGTTAAGAAAGAATCACACTCCTCTCCTTAAAATCCCTGTGTGGTGGCGGCGTGCCGTCCTCCCATCCCTCCCTTGGGTTGTCTGTTTTCTTTCTTTCTTTCTAAGAAAGAAAAAAGACGAGGGTGGGACGACCGCGAGGTGGCATGAAGGTTGCAGCGAGAATCGGCGAGAGGCTGCGAAGAGAGATAGGAAGAGGCAGACTCCCTAGGGTGGGCGACGGATAGCGCACCACACACCTCTCCTTAAAATCCCTGTGGGGTGGCGGCGTGCCGTCCTCCCATCCCTCCCTGGGTGTCTGTTTCTTCTTCTTAAAA